TGCACTTTATAGCTGCCTAAAGCAGAGAAGAACTACTTCTGAGGGTACAGCCTGGGCAGGAAACCTTTTTAAAGCTCTAGGTGCATCAGGGTTGAGAGCCACTGATGTGGAAGCACAGAGGGAGAGGAAGGACCCATGCAGGGGGCACAGCAGGAAAACCTGGAGCAAGTAGAGGCCCTGGAAGCCAGCCCAGGAGGGATCCAGAAGGGGTAGTGGCCACATCAAGCCTGCTCTGGTGACAAGGGCAGACAGGGACCTCCAGGTACAGGGATGTGGAGTGGGCAGAGTCGGTGAAATCCCCCAGCCAGGGACTCCAGCTCTTCATGCTTACCCTGCTGGATGCCCCTCTGGGACGAGCCCTGCTGAGTGTACTGTAACACATCAGCCTTCTCATGAATTCTCACAAGTCTAACTGTACAAACACTCATGATGCCTGTGAGCATGGGGGACACAAGGGCATGAACAAGGCAGAAACAGGTACAGCCTTACAGAAGGTAATGTTCCTGTACAGCCCAGAGTCCTGGGGCAAGCCTGGGGCACCCTGCACACGATTCCTGCTCCTCACACCCTGCTGCAGGAGCTCAGGATATCTCCATACCAGGCCTTAGGAGTCCTTGTGCCCAATTGTTATTAGACTAGATCAATAGTTTTTAGCTTCTTATTGAAATTGAAATTAAAAAAAAAAAAAAAACCAAAACATTAAAATGGCAACAGGAGCTGGCTTAATACGCATTCCCAAACCTGCCACAAGGGAGAATGAAGTCTCATCTCCACTTAAGCTATATCAGACCAAGTGACACTTGGGTCAGTGACCTTGAGCCATGAAAAGCAAGGTACAAAAACTCAATGTAGGATGCCAACAGAGGCCCGGGGAGCTGCCTGCACTGGTCCTGCCCAGTGCAAAGTCCCTGGGTTAGGTCATGGAAATAAATCAATAATGCAGAAATTGTTTTGATCTCCTTAGTAAGAAAGCCTCGGCTGAAACTCAAACAAGTCAAGTTCTCAAAGGATTACAGGGGTTACTGGCCACTCAGTCAAACCTGTTGGCAGATTCCTTAAAGGCACCTTAGAGTAAAAATCAACAGTGGAACAATATCTCAAAACTCTTGTTTGCTTCATAACTTTCTCTTCTCCTTAGGAACCTGCAGGTAGCACGATCAGCAGCTGAAACGCACGTGAAACAGATTTCTTTCCTCCCGATGTTCATTAACCACAAAGTTACATCAAATGCCCCTGGAAGAAGGCCCCAAAAGGAGTCACAGTCACCCACTAACCAGTGCAGCAACCTTCACGTCTCTTGTCTGCTGAACCCTACACGAGTGAAAGAGTCTACAGCACACCTCCCTGTCTGAGATGAGGGAAGCAGGATGTGCAGACCACAGGATGGAGGTGAAAAATCACAAGGAAGAATCACATCTCATCTTCAAACTAAGCTACATCAGGCTAAGTGTTAGAGGGTCAGGGACATCCCCTTGGTCCATGGGAGAAAAATCAATTTCGTATATGTTAGACAAATATAAATCAACAAGCTACAAACATATCCTGAAACATATTTTTAAGTGTTTTGTTTTTTTCTTTTGTGTTTCACAAGATTAGCTTTATTCTTTTTTAAAATATTTTTTAGATGTTGATGAACCTTAATTTTATTCATTTATTTATATGTGGTGCTGAGAATCGAACCCAGTGCCTCACATGCTAGGCAAGTACCCTGAGCCACAACTCCAGCCCTAGCTTTATTCTTAAACTAGAGTTTTCCCCTTTTTTAGTGACTCTGAGAGACAGTGGTTAGTGTAGAGTCACACCTGACAACCTTGGTTTGAATTTCAGCATCCCCCTTTGCTAGCTGCATGATTTTGGGGAAGTTTCTGGACTTCCCTGCGTCCCAACATCCTCAGCTATAGAATGGGGCAGCAATAGGAATGAATTCAGAGGTTTCTGGCAGATTAGAGGAAAGACAAGAAAAGCACCGAAAGCAGGGCTGAGCACACAGTAAGTGCCACATGTTGACCATTGCTTCTCAAATGCCCTAAGTTTATGGACACATTTGTTTTGTGGGTCATTTTCACTTTTGGTGTTTCTCGGACTCATGGAGAAGTGCCGAAACTTTTCTGAAAAGGTCATTCTGCCACCTGGTAAAGGTGGAGCACCCATGGCTCTCTCCCTCCTCTCAGAAAACCAGCTGAAGGTCAGATTTAAAAGGCAAAGTATGGCTTCTCCACTCAGGAAAGGAAAGGAGTTTTATCTGGCTCCCTGGGAGCCATGCTATGTCAACTTGGTCTGGGCAGCAAGGTGTAGCTGGCCTCCTGCTCAGTGCTGGCACCTGGGAGCTCCCTGTCCCCACTGCCACACATCATAAAAGGCCACAATACCCTTAAAACAGAAAATAAGTCTAGACTGAAACAAAGAGTTACGCTCTCTTCTTACATACCTCACAAGTGACTCACACGTCTCCTGGGTTACACACGTGTAAACAAACACACGGAACCCAAGGAGGACACCAAGCTCAGGCAAGGGCTCCTATCCTGTGCCTTCTACCAACCCCTCCACCAGTTTGGCAAAAGGCTCACTGATCCCTCCTTGTAAGGAAGGTCTGCAGATGTACGATCAAGTACAAGTACAAGGAAGATGGCTGCACTGATGTAGTTACTAGACCTTGAAAAGGATCTATGACAGGAACAAAAACCAACATCTGTGACATAAGTGCTTCTCTATTAATGCATCAAAAATGAGGTCTATCAGCATCTGGTGTAACTTCAGAGCAGTGATGAGTAAAGACACTATTTGAAGGGATTTGCCTCTGCTGTGGCATGACATGCAAACACCTAGGATCCCCACTGGTGACAAAGTCACTGTCCTGCCAGCACCACCATGCTTTGTTGTCTGTACCTCATTTTGGTCAGAAGTTAATGAATATAAAGATGCCTATTTTTTTCCCTCTATCAGTTCAAGAGCCCCCTCAGTTCTCCCTGCATACTTTGGGGCCCCAGGACCTTGATTTGAAAGCATCACTTAGAAGGTCCTGTGTTTCAATTAATTAATGCTTAGGGCTGGGGCTGGAGCTCAGTGGTAGAGCGCTCGCCTAGCATGTGCGAGAGGCTGGGTTCGATCCTCAGCACCACATAAAAATAAATAAATAAATGGTATTATGTCCGTCTACAATTTAAAAAATAATTCTTAAAAAAAAGAGTTAATGCTTGATCGTTCAATTAATATGACAAATAGCCATTCTGCGCTAAGCAAAGGAACCACGGGGTGGGAGGGATACAACAAAACAAACAGAAGTAAGGGGATACCAGGAAACAACCACGTTGTAAAAGCTTTCAGAATCTCTGCTCAATGTTTATTTCAGTTCTTCAATTTTATTATAGGTTATCACTGCCAAATTCACCAGGATTTCTTTTTTTTTTTAATAGATAACTAAAAATCAAACTAACAAACAGAAGACACAATCTCTGTTTGAGTCTACTGTCAAGTAGACCTTAGAGACTATGGATCAGTGCTACGGAATAGACACTGAGCTCACCATGCTTCCATTTCCTTGATAATAAAACCAGCCCTGCCCAACTATAGACATTTGATAGGGATGCAATGAGGCAATTAGTGTGAAAGGTCTTTGAAAACTGTGTGGTGCTGCTCTTGGATGGTGTTCCAATTATACCGTGTATCCAGTGATTATTCAGAGTTATGAGAAGGAACTTAGGGAGCCTCCCGTGGCAGAAACAGCCATAAGGGGTACTAACTACAGAATCACAGGAGGGTCATCTATGGAAGAGTAAGTAACAGAGAGAGATTTCTCAAACAATAATTGTGTTGTGGATTCTACTGTGGATTTCACAGTTGAGGCAAATACAGAACACACCAAGGATCTTACTCTGGACTTGCTTTTCTGTGCACAATACCACATTTCCATGAGTAAGCTAGAATGACTTACAAAGAGCTTCGTAAACTCGACAAGATACATGAGTCATTCAAAAGCCTATGGAATATTCTATTTTTATTGAAACTGATTTTCCGCAATGTTCACAAAGTAACTAGGATTTGCATCAGGTATAAAAACACAGGTCAATTTAAACAAATTTCCCTCCTAATACGAAAGTATCTAATAGAGAAAACCTGAAAAATGGCCTCTGATACAACCTAAAAAATAAACCTGTAGTTCCAGCCTGTTTATTTTAAATGATCTCAAAACTTTAAGAAAATTAGAAAAACTGGTCTGCATTAGTAAAAAATTTTAGAGATGCATCATAAGCTGGTTTGGAATCATGTTTTCTCCACATAAAAGCAGGACTGCTGTACTCTTTTTTTAAAGGCTGATGCAATGATACATCAATATGTAAATCACCCAGCTGGCATGAATTTCTAAAGAGTGAAACTGCTTCTAAAAAGCTACCTCTCTAATAAACTTCAGTTACCAAAATTAAGTATTAATTATTAATTTTTTTTAAATTTGTCACCTTTTTTGAGGTCTACAATACCAAGTGTCATCTCTTGTCATCCTGACTACTGAAAAGAGCTCTCCTAGTGTACTGCTCACCCTACCAGGTATAAGCTCTGCAGCCCAAAAGCATCAACGGTTTCCTGCTGCAACCCACAGCCCGACTTTCCCAAATACCAGTTCAAAGAGCTTCTCAGTTGTCACCCTTGGCACATGTCTCATTAGGTCCCTCAATGTCTCAAATACCTTTAATTTTAAATGAGACAAACTCCTTCCCCATAGGAGTTTCTACGTACTCAAGTGGTCCTCTGGTAAGAAGCAGAAATAGGAACATTTTTCAAATTTGTCAGCTAAAAGAAAGTGAGTTCAAATGAAAATCCTACTTGGTCCATGCTGATCTAAAACTTCAGAAGATTTAACATTCAGACCCTTTCTGTGGTTAACCTACAGCCACATCAACCTTCCAGAGAAGGCAGGCTGTGGGACAGTGTGACCAGTACCGGACCTCACCTGAGGTGGCGGCTAAGAGGGAGCTACATCAGAGCATCAAAGGGCAGCTACTCACGGAAGTATTTCAGCGTCTCCTCGATCTGCTCGGTGGTGAGGTCGATGTTGGCGTCTGGGGAAAGGAGAGGCGTGTGGAGCCAGTCGTCGTGGTCATAACCGTAGATGGTGTCGGCTCTTAACTTATAGTGGGGCAGCTGCTCCTCCAGCAAGCTGATGATCTCAACTTCTGGAAGATCGGTGCTATTGCACACATCTAGAGAAAGGAAGAGAAAGGAGACTGAGAAAGGAGAGTCCACTCTGGCTGAGGCCTTGCCACCATTGGTTAGCTACACTTGTGACCTGCAGTGGGTCTTTGGTCTCACCTACAGCACAGAGAGGCCAATCAAGGCCACATCAGACTTCGAGTTATGGGGAAGAGGTGTGGGTAGGACCTGGAATGTCCCCTAAAAGCTCCTTCCTTGAAGGCTTGGTCTCCAGTGCAATAATGTTCAGAGGTGGGGAAGTGACTGGATCATGAGGGCTCTTATGCTGAATGGACTATTGGGAGGGGTGGAAACTGTGGGAGTAGGGCCTATTTGGAGGAAGCATGCCCTGGAAGGGTATTTCTTGTCCAGGGTTTCTTTCTTATTCTCTCTCTCTGCTTCCTGTTCGCCATGAGGCAAGCAGCCTTGCTCCACCACACTATTCTACCATGATACTCCACCTCGCCCCAGGACCAGAAGCAATGGAGCCAGCTGACAACAGCTGGAAACCTCTGAAATCACGAGCCAAAATAAATCTTTCCTTTTTCTTTACCTTTTCTCAGGTATTTTGTCACAGCAACAGAATGCTGTGACACAGATTGCTAAAGGGTATAGAAATGCAGTTGGCTAGGAAGAATAATTTTGAATATTCTATAGTACAGTAGGAGGACTGTCAATCATAATTAATTATATATTTCAAAACAGCTAGAGGGGATTTTGAATGTTCCCAACATTTAAAAAAATGAAAACCATTTGAAATAATGTAAATTTCCCTGATCTGATCATTGCATGTTATATACAAATTGTATTGAAAAGTGACACTGTACTTCACAAATTGTACAATTATTATATATAATTTAAAACTGAAAAAAAAAATTTTAACTTAGAATCATGCATGCTTATTGCCAAGATCTGCCCAAGACAATTGTTACTGTTAAGTGTCCACCGACTAAGAACGAAAGCCTAAATTTGTGACCTTCATTCTCTGGGCTAAGTCTTTCTTCCAACCCTTTCCCCTACTATCCTCTCCAAGTACCCTACATTTTAGCCAAACCGGTTATAACTTAACCACTATGCCTAACTTCTTCCTTTCATTCACTCTTTAACCATTCAAGCCTTCCCTTCAGCTGGAATTTGACCTTCATTTAATTTATCTGTTCATTCATCCACACTTCCTTTCATCCACCCATTCATCCATCCATCCATCCATCCATCCATCCACGTGTCTCACAGGAGACACAATGGTGAACGCAGCAGTCCCGGCTCCACCTTCCTGACACGCTCTTACAGGGCATCCTTTAAGACAATGACAATGACAGCAACAGGAGCCTGCCCCTCAAGGCACAGTCTGCCAGGCTGGTGCTTGATCTTTCCAAACAGAACATTCTCTCTTCCCCTTTCCATACTCACACAGTATTTTGTCAGAACTTCTGTTACTGCACTTATTAAGCTGTATCTTCTGAGTAGTGTAGTATCCGACTCCTCTTGCTGTAAGATGGCAATCTGCCATACACAGCTGCCCTTGATCCACCACCTGAAACCTACAGTCCCGGGCCCAGGCTGAGCCCAAGGTGTACCCAACAATGCCTTCGATGTTGAACCAACTCACACAAAGTACAGAAACACAGCACTTGTGACTAAATTATAAACATGACAATGTGGCAGACATTCCTAGGACACAGACCCTACTTTTCCACCCCAGCACTTACTTATCAAAGGAAAAGTATGGAGAAGGAATAAAATGGATGGTAATGGGCGAATGATAATTTTCTGTCAATTCTGACATCAACCACTTTTTCTGCCCATTTCACAGAGGCATTAAGGACCCACCATGCTAAATGGCCCATGGGGCAGTAGTGGTCTTTTAAAATTTTTGAACACATATTAATTATACAAATTAATAGTTTCATGGTGATGCTTCCACACGTGTATACATTGTGCATTAATCACGTCTGCCTTCCCTCTACCCCCTCGCTCTCCTCTCTCTCCCTCTAACTTTGAATATTCTATATTCAAACCCAGAGCAGCAGTCTGGCCAACCCAGAGCTAAACCAAGCACCTACGGTGCACACAGGTGGAAAAGAGACAAGAGTTAATTCAGTCTTCCCTGCTAGAAATGAGTCTTCAACAGAGAAACACCAATTGAAAGATTAGACTACTCTGGGGGTCAGATCTTGATGAAGCTGTTGTACCACGTTCTTGCCTTAAGAAGAAAGCACAGGTGGGAACTGGGTGCAGGTGGAGGACCACACATGATTCTGTCTCCAGCCTTTCCAAAGAGAAAGGGCAGGGGAGAAGACACGCTCAGAATCAAAACATCCAACACCATAGGGAAATGGGGTAGCTGAGGAAGGACTGAAATTATGAGGTGTTCCCAAAACATGGAAGGTGGAATCAAACTAAAGGAGAAAGGAAGGAGGAAGTCAGGTCCTAAACACAGGCGCGGCGCCAATGACTGGCGTCCACAGTAGTGGGGGAGGCAGTTGTCAGAGGGAGCAGGAAGGCCTGGGGCCAGGATTCTCTGGAGAAACAAGGCAGGGACAGCAGGGGAGGCAGCTTCTCCCCTCCAGCCCCTGCCAGAGCCAACGCCAAGCAGACAGCAGAAGAACACAGAGAGGCCAGCGCCCAGAAGAGCAGCCATGACAGTCGCCCAGACTCCTGCCTCCTTTGTGTTTAACAGGAAGGTCACACAACAGGCAAAGATGGGAGGTGGGAGGAGGAGAGGGGGGAAGAACCACCACAGGGAAAGAGAACCTACAATTAGGGGTTGTCACCCTTTGGGCAGCAGCCTGCTGGAGACACTGCCAGCCCCCACATTCTCCAAAGCCCCACCAGCCCCTCTCATTCAGCTCCGTGTGCAAAGCTTTACTGCACAATGCTTTCATTCAGGATGTCAGTGTGGTTTTCCAAAGTGCTAAGGAGCGTTAATGATTAGAACAGGAGGACACTCAGCATTTTACTTGGCTTTTTAGGAAACAGTTCAATCCTGGAGGGTAGACTGCACCTGAACACTTGGGAAAGGTCACAGTGTGCACACTTGGCACTTCAACCAGCCAAAAACCAGGACAGACCTGCGGAAGCTCCACATCCTCCCTTGGACAGAGTGGTGGCCCCACTTCAAGACGATTTCTCTGGTTTCTTCTCATTTCCCACCAACAAGAAGACACCACCCAAAAGGTTCAAGACAGGCCCATGAGAAGTGAATAGTTTCTCTTCTCATTTCTCAAGTGAAGATGTTCCCACAGAGCTCAGCTCTGGGAGAGGACTTCCAGCTGTAATACAACCACCATCTGAGAGAGGGGACCTGGGATCAAGGCATGTGGGTGCCAGTCACAGCATCTCTTGCCTAAACAAGCATCTTCTGACCAAACCATGCTCCACAGCAGCTCTGCAAAAGGTAGAGCCAACCTGTACCCAGGAGAACCAGGCAGGGGACCAGCACATTCCTGGATGACACACCAACAGGACAGGCGGTATCCTCTGGTGTCTGGATGCTGCGTGGTGGTGGGAAAGGAAACAGAGTCCAGAAAAAATATATATATCCCTTCTGAGATCAAAGTGTTACTTGTGAACACAATGTCATCTGCTCAAAAGCTGAGAGTTGACCTGTCCTTCCATGTTTCCAGGGTTGAAGATCAACATATTTACAGTGTGGGTCTTGGTGCCCCAAGAGAGGTTGTTTTCCTTTAAGCATGTGATGACGAGTGAGATAAAGTATCAAAAGGGAAGGCTGTGCCAAAATGCTCTGTTAAAAAAATTTTATAGTTGATTTTTCCATAATGTGGCCAGCCATACAAATGTCAATAAGTTTTCAGCTGCTTGGAAGGCCCAGAGAATTGGGGCACAGAAAAGATGACGCCCCTAGTGACTGCCCCAGGAGCTATCCTTGACTTTCAGAAGGCCCAGAGAACTCTTGTGGAAGTAGACACCACCTCAGCCTCAGTGAGAAGGTACACCAGCGGCCTGAGGTTGGGTGAATGTAACACAGGAGCTGTCAAGAATCCCCCAGGAATGCTGTTGACATGCCACCCACCATGCACTCTCGGCCTTCCTGGAAACGTGGGATATGGATGTTATTTGCTGGGTTTTACAGGCTGCAAAGCTGAAATTCACAGGAGCTGTGGACTGTCCTGTTGGTCAAGGTCACACGCTAGCTCAGTAGTGCATTTTGTCTGAGAAGTCTCAGCAGCTGACTGGAAGCCCTGCCATCGCCCTGGCACCTGCTGCCCATCTTCTGGGAGGGCGCATGTGAAACACTGGGCAATTCCAAGGACACTGTCATCAACAGGAAGCTTTTGTTCTCAACAGATAGAAGGCTTCATATGTGTGCTAGGGATGGTGGCTTAAAACACATGGGCAAGTTAGGGTGGTGCCAGAGTGACCTTCCCTTTCAGAACTCAGCAAGCAGAGCCAAGAACTGAAGTAACTTATGTACAGAATCTCGGAGGGCCAGTGGCCTGTGTAGGACAGCCCAGTCCCTCTCTTAAAGCTTATTAAAGCTGATAATGTGAAGGGACACTGCCAGCCCACATGAAAGAAAAAAAAAAACCCTTTGTGCTCTCTATGGTCATCATTTCCCCACAGCTCCAATTCACATTTTTAACAAGCTATAAAAATGTGTTCTCAGCCAGGCGTGGTGTGCACCAGTAATCCCAGCTACTAGGGAGCCTGAGGCAGAAGGATCACAAGTTCAAGGTCAGCCTGGGCAATTTAGGCGAGACCCTGTCTAAAAATAAATTTTTAAGAGAGCTGGGGTGTAGCTCAGTGGTACAGTGTCCTTGAGTTTGGATCCCAGTGTCATGAGAAATAAAAAACAAAAACATGTTCTTAGCTAAATCTCAAATGAAAGCAACAATTTCCTGATTGAACTCAAACCCCTATAGGTCTTTGCTTCTGGCAGATCTGTAGTAACAACAACCCCAAGCCCCACTGACCCCCACTCCAGCCTGTCAAGCCATCAAGCTCAGCAAGGCAGTTAGAGGAGACTGACCTCTCAGTGTCACCTCCTTCC